CCCGCCCCCTGGGGAGAATGGGTGCACACTCCAGACAGGCCAGCAGAACCTTGATGCCTAATGATTTTGCTCGGCCAGCGGTGGTACAGATCTTAAGAGGGCAGCCGCGAGTACCTTCCCTCCCCCAAGCCGGTGGTGCTCCAGGATGACCAGCCTGTCTAATCCGTGGCCTTCCTCGACTGCTGGCACGCGGCCTCACACTCCCGCGTGAGGCTGGGAGGGGTGCCCTTGGAGGAGTTTACTTCCTCATCTCTAACAACACTCGTCCCGCGTGCTTTACAAGGTCACAGTAATCAAATGAGACGCGATGTGAAAGCGTTCTGACAACGAAGAAACACTCACTACACAGAGCAAAGGAAAGAGAAGCATTTGGCTGGAGAGGAAAGCGGCCCCACATGGGGTTCGTGGGGTTCGGCAGGCCAGGCTTTGTTCCTGGCTCCGCCGGTAACTGAGGGTGAAAGGTTGGGCCTGCCCACCTCTGCCTCCTCCCCTGCGCAGCCCTAACACTGTGTTTTCAGGTGGCTCTCCTTTATGAGGCCCTGAGTCCCATAACAGGGTGACACCACCCAGATAGATCCCTTGCCGTTAGGGGCGGCAGATGGCCCATAATGGGCCAGCACTTTGGGTGGGGGGACTTTTCAGATGGAGGGGCAAGCTGGGGAACGGGACTGGCTGCCGGTGGGCGCGTCCTTCTCCCTGCTGACTCTGACCCGTGGTGGGGGTTCCACACCCTGGAGGGGAGGGGTGATGGGAGGAGCTCGGAGCCCCAGGCCCAGACCTGCCCCACCGCCAGGCCAGCTTGGTGGCCAGGTGGGGCGGGGGTTTCTCAACTCTGCTGCGCCGCCACCCCCACCGGCCCCTCCCTAGGAGTCAGCGGGGCCAGGGCAGGTCCGGGACCCTCCTCACCTGTGTCCCCAGCCGGCCAACTCACTGTCGGACTTGGTACGGTCACAGCCCACACAAACGCACGCTCCGGAAACCGAAAGTACACTATAAAGTTTAAACTGGTGCTACGACTATTTTCCAGCGTTTTCGTCAAGAATTAAAAAAAAAAAAAAAAAAGTCTCCATAATTAAATTACTTAAAATTCTATGCTGCTCAGTTTCACAATCAGAGAATTCTACTTTGTTTAGAGGTGGAGGCCGGATCGTTTGATAGTTTCTCTCCCTCCATCAGTTCACGGTTCAGCAATGGGAAACCGGCTTCCCGGGCTCCGTTCCCACCACCGCCTGCCAGCCCGAAAGGGTGGGCTCTCCTTAGGCGCGCGGCCTGCAGCGGGGCCAGGACACCGGGGCGCCCCTCCCACCCTCGCCAGCCTGGGGCATCACACAGGTCTGCGCCGTCGCTGGGTCCCAGGACGCTCAGGCCACAAGTCCAGTCGGTCACTAGGTCTGTGGAGGCCAAGGGTCCTTTGGAGGCCGGGCTCTTGAAGGTCCGGGGCCCGGCCGGGAGGGCTGGAGAGCTGGCGGGTCGGCCCTGGCCCCGCCAGGAGCGTGCTTGCTTATGCAGGTGAACCTGGCGGGATGCCTTGCCGCAGATAAACTCTTAGAGCGGTCGCCGAGCGGTGCAGGTGAAGACGCCGCGCTCGTGTCGTTCAGTGGTCGATGAGCTTGAGCCGCCAGGAAGGTGAGCGCTTCGCACTCGGTGGGAACGGCCGCTTCGCCCATTAATGCAGCATGCGATGGTGACGGATGGTGCTGGCGAGGCAGCGTGAAGCCGCGACACCTCCCCGCACCGCAGCGCTGTCGTCTGCGGCCACCCAGCAGCCTCATACGCCTTGGCCTCATGGGTTCAGGCGACCCGCGCTTTGGCAGAAAGGCGCTCAGGCTCACCTGCAGCTGGAAGCTCTTCCCGCACGTGGCGCAGGTGAAGGGCCGCCCTCCCGGCGGGGCGGCGGGGTGCTTCTTCAGGCCCGGCTTGTGGCCGAAGCCCTTGGTCCGGCCGGGGTATTTACAGGGGTCGCCGAAGGGTCTCGGGGCCTGGCTGGAGTCCAGCACGGCCTCCCCGCTGTCGGGGGAGGTGTAGGGCACCCCCTCGGGTCCAGTCCTCGGGTTCAGGCCCACGGGGGGCTTACACCGGAAATTCCAGCCCCACCGGACCCCCCCAAAGAGCCAGTCCCCCGGCGGGGTCTCCTCCTGGGCCACCGCGGGGCTGAGCTCGCCCATGTCCCGCTCCGGCCGGGCGGGCTCTCTCAGCCCCAGCACAGGGTCCTGGCTGGGGAAGGAGCCGCCCTGGTTTTCCCAGGCTCCTTCCTGGACGGGACTAGGGAAAAACCTTGTGGCTTGGCCTGGTCCAAACAGGGTCCCGTGAGCCTCCAGGTCGGTAGGATGCACTGGCGTGGCCACCACCTCCTCTTCCTGGACTTCTGTTTTTATCACAATTTTGACATCTGCTGAGAAAGGCAGAAGGACCCGGTATTGTCGCGTCCCGTACCTGCTTAAGGGAGGAGCCGATCCTTCCGTCTGGCTGTTCAGCAGCTACTCCGCTCCACCATGACCGTGAGCCCTACTCTCCCAAGTCTCAGGATCCCGTTGGGCAGAGCCCCCCCACTGGCAGTCATGCGGCCAAACCCTGGGCGAGGACCTTCACAGGTAAAGCAACCATCGCACTTGCTCACCCGGGTCCATTTTCGCTTTGGTTATTAAGGCTACTCCTGAGTTCATCCTAAGGCTGACCACTGGTGGGCACGTTTGGAATGCAGCAAGCATTCTGTGTGGCCCGCCGGCTAGTGAGAAAAATATTAGCCAATCAGTAAAACTGTGTTTGATTTTATATAAATGTACTTGACTCTCACATCCTGAAGTTTTATATCAGGGACCTGGGCTTTTAGCACAAATATGACAGGAATGAGGAAAGTAACAGATAACTGGCCTTCAAAACAGAAGTAAATGGAAAACTAATCCATAAGTTTGGTAGTTGTTCTTCCTGATCCTGGCCTTCGGACGCCTGTCTTTGGTAGTGTTGATGGGTCACAAGCGACTCTGGTCTGGTTTGGTTTTTCCCACGCCAGCAGAGAGCCAGGACGGCTGAGCCTGGGCAGGTGATACGTCCTCTCAAGGGATCAGCTTTAGCTGGGTTGACTGGTTAGGACCATATGTGAAAGGGACAGTCGGAAACACATACGCTCTCAAGAAAGGCTGTTCGAGCTTAAGAGTTTGGAAGGAGATCAAGGACAGACTATAGAGTCCTAACGCCACATGTGACACCTAAAGGCCTGTTGGCTGAGAGGTCAGGGCAGTTCGGCAGTAAAAACGAGGGCCCTGGGCCGAGGCAGCCTTGCAGGCAGACGCGAGCCTTTCCCGCCCCCTCTCGGCCGCACCATACCTTCCGTGGAGGCTGCTGTGTTGAGCTTCAGTGTCCCGTCCGAGCATGCTGAAGAAGGGTGATGGGGAGGGAGGTCCGCCTGCCAGGAAGTGGGTGGGATCGTGGTGGAAAAGTTGGAGTGGACGCCTGCAGTGAGGACAGATCAGAGTCCGGGGGTTAGGGGAAGGAAGGGCAGGTGAGACTCTAAGATCCCACCTGGGCCTTTTCTG